GGGACTATGGCTTGGATCATTTCATATTCTGAATCACATGAAAGCACGGGAAGAACAAACCTTAGCGAGATAGCAACGAAGAGCAATGGTGTTACGAACCCAACCAAGTATCCCACGTACACGGCTATGATGATTGGAGCGAGTACAATGTAGCGGTTGACAAAAAAAAATTAAGACACAAGCCGAGTAAGCTTTGGAATGTAGTTTTTCCAGGAAATGGCTCAACTATGCCAATGATGAAAAATTCACCGAGTGGTAATATACATATTTTTGCCCTTTTAAATTCAGTCAATCGCCTTTTGCCCTTTTAAATTCAGTCAATCGTAGTTAATAATACACTTTGCCCTTGTAGTAATTATTCCGAAATTACCATCCATGCAGCTTCTTTTTGTGGTTTTTATTTAGAGGTTATACCCATATTGCAATGATCGTTAATCTACAAAATTATTTATTACACGTTCATAACTCACTAACAAAAGATATGGCGCTATTGTGACAAAAAAAATTGTGAAAAACTCATTTACTCATAATCGTTAGTATTCGATCATAATATTGTGACAGAGTTGAAGGTAACAGACTTTCATATGGAGTCACAAATAGTGTTGCAGATTTGTAACCAAATTTAGTATATAAATTATACAGTTTTGTGACTAAATTTATGTCACTCATAGTTACAAATGTTTTGTAACTAATATGTCACAATCAATACTGTTTTAATGATTGTTGCGCTTGGTCACAAACAAAACGTGACATAGTTGTAACTACTTTGATACAATACAATAGTAAAAGTACATGAATTCAAAGTTAGAAGTGAAATAAGAAAATGTGTATATATATATATATATATATAAACTCGAAATATCACATATCTTTACTTATATTTGATTTAAGCACACATTTTGATTACTACTAACCATATTATATAGATATATATTTGTGATAAATAAAAAAACCCAATAATTTAAGTGACGGAAAAAGTAAAGATATGATAGTCTTGACATAGACTTAAAAGGGAATTATAAAAGTCGCAACCTTCCATGTAGTCAGGCAAACTT